TTAAAAAGGAGTTTGTTGAAATGTTTTTCTACAATTGCAACGAAGTTTGCAAACCCTTCTGTTCCTCTTAGATCATTTCTCAGTGCATACACTACAATTGTAATCTAATACATTTACAATGCTATCTGTTTGGAATTTAATCATAAATTTGACATTTCATTATCTTTCAATTCATTCTGCTTTCATTTTAAAACTATTGTTATGAATCCGACTTAATAAATTTTAAAAATGATAATTGGGCAAATCATGGATCTTGACTATACCCCACCTAACCTCTTCTACTTTTCCCCCACCTACCCCCCCCACACACACTTTCCCTTTCTCATGGTCTCTGTCTTCCTGTGTAATAAACCGGAAGTTGAGTTATTCATATTTTCCAAATATCTGGGAATATTTAGTAACTAGCTAGATGGCCCGGCGGTGCCCGTGGATAAAAAAATTAAGAAAAAGGTTCAGCCGTTTTGACGTTTATTGGATACAAACAAACAGACAAACAAACAGACAAGCCAAATTTATATATAGATTACGATTGAAAAACATTCCCTGTTTTTTTCTTAAATATTTCCATCTGACTAATGCTAATGATGGCTCAGTAACATCTGATATAATTACAACATTACATAAGATATATTGACAAAACATATAATTACAAAACATATAATTACAAAAAAAATAAGTTACAAAATATATAAGTTACAAAAGATATAAATTGCACATGATTTAAGTACAAATGAATAAAAGGAGAAAATTACAAACAGTTTGTTCATTTGAACAATTCATTTAAACTTTTTGTTTTGTTTCAATTGGTCTATTTTTTATGTTCTTTTGAACTAATACTAGCCGCAGCACTCGATTCAGAAAGTGTCTTAACCTAACCTACCCCTGAAATAATGTATACATTTGAACTATTTTTGGTTTAGTTAAACTATTTTTATTTGAACAAGAAATTGTATCATTTCAGAGTTAGGCTAGGTTGAGACAGTTTCTGGGCCTAGCGCTGCGGTTAGGAGTTTAAATGAACATAAAAATAGTTAAACTGAGCCACAATTGAACTATTTTCCGATGTATTAGAACTATTTTTGTGTCTAAATACAATGGAATTTGAGCTAAAGAACATGTTATATATTTCATAACATTTGCCATTCCATAGATTGTGTAATTATATCTTTTGTAACTTATATATTTTGTACCTTATATCTTTCCTACTTTATATCTTATGTTTCTTATATCATATGTAATCATATGTTTTGTTATTATATATTTTGTAATTATATCTTATGTTACCGAGCTCTAATGCATCATGAATAATAATAATAAAAATAAATAAAATTCTTTAAAGTTCCAGGATCTGTTAAAGACAAGATCAGTTGGAGACAAGATCAGTTGGAGACAAGATCAGTTGGAGACAAGATCAGTTTGAGATATGATCAGTTGGAGACAAGATCAGTTGGAGACAAGATCAGTTGAAGACAATATCAGTTGGAGACAAGATCAGTTGGAGACAAGAGCAGTTGGACAAGATCAGTTGTAGACAAGAACACTCAGCTACAAAGTCAAGGTCATTAAGAACAAGTGTATAGAACGGTTTCTGAGTATGTGAGATATAACTGGAGAAGGTATCAGAGTATGTAAGATATATCTGGAGAGGGTATCAGGGTATGTGAGATAAATCTGGAGAAGGTATCAGGGTATGTGAGATATATCTGGAGAAGGTATCAAGGTATGTGAGATATATCTGGAGAAGGTATCAGGGTATGTGAGATATTTCTGGAGAAGGTATCAGGGTATGTGAGATATATCTGGAGACGGTATCAGGGTAAGTGAGATATATCTGGAGACGGTATCAGGGTATGTGAGATATATCTGGAGACGGTATCAAGGTATGTGAGATATATCTGGAGAAGGTATCAGGGTATGTGAGATATATCTGGAGACGGTATCAGGGTCACTCCTGTATGCCGAGTCCATTAGCGCCTGATCCATTCGATCAGGGTTCAGTCATGTGTTTGTTATCTATTCTGAACCAATAGAAATAGTATGGCGGTAACATCTATCTTTCTATCTACCTCATTATATAATAAGAGTTATGAATCCTTCAATCAGTAAATGGAAATATTTACTTCTACTGAAACTATGGTGGGGTATATGAGATATATCTGGGTATAAGTTGAACCATGAACGTGACAGATCTATTGTCAGACTATCTTAGAAAATCTAAACTTAGAATAAAGATAAGATTCTAGAACTATTTATTACTAACAACAAAAGTATATGGTATACACAATACAGTCACGTCAAATTAAAGTAAATTGTAGGTTAAATTCAAAATCGTTGTTTTCCATCATAACTCGTTTTATTGAAGAGTTATTAAGAATTTCTGGTAAGTAACCGGCTATATTTGCTTTTATCATAATTGTCCTTGAAATCAAAGCTAGCGGAGCTATGAGGTCACAAAGTTAAACTAGTAATGTCGCATAAATTTAACCGTCTCCTTCTATCTAGTTTGCGGTGCAGTGCGACTGTAAAAACAAGCTGAACAAACTGCCTCAGAATTTTCCTCCATATTTGCGTGAAAAAAGTGACAAAAAGTGGAGATAGAATCTGCTGGAGGTGTAGTGTTGTTAATGTTTTGGTTCGTTTTACAAGTTTGTTTTTGGATCATATTTGGTTTGTTTTTGGTCGTTTTTGGTTCTGTCTGGGTCAAAATAGTGAAAGCAAAACAAATGTTTAGAAGTGGAGCAAACAATTTTGAAAACACTTTCACTAACCTAGTAATTAATTTTGACCTTGAAATAAATTTTAGGCAAAAAACGAACCAAAAACGAACCAAAACGAACAAACTTAAAGGGACTGTAAAGAAAAAATGAAAGGGGGTATAGGCTGAAAGCTAATCACTTAGCTCTTGATCGCGACCCATGAAAGTTATATCTGATGTTCCTGTCTCGAGAAATTGATATACAACTTTGTTAAATTTATACGAAAATTAATATATATACAATTTTACATAAAAGTAGAGGGTTTAAATAGATCAAATTCAGCAAATATGCAACCAATCTGAAAACGATGATATCCCAGAGAAAGCTAATTGTAACTTAGGTTTACTCCAATTCTAATTTTAAATTTGTTATTTCTATCTTTTATAGATTTAATTCATAATATTATTTATACATCCGTATTGCTTGACCAGAAATTCCACCAATGGCAGTGCAGTAAAGTAATCACGTGATACAGGCGGAGACACGTGACCAGTATACTGCTCTGCCATTGGTGATAGATCTGGACACGTGATTTAAGTTTAAGATTTTCTAAATTTTACATATATTAACTTTCGTATAATTTTAACACAGTTTTATATCAATTTCTCGAGACAGGAACATCAGATAAAACTTTCATGGGTCGCGATCAAGAGCTAAAGTGATTAGCTTTCAGCCTATACCCCCTTTCAGTTTTCCTTTACAGTCCCTTTAATCACTAGATGAAGCTGGCAATAAACGCCTAACTAATGAAGGGATTATAGAATGTCAAATTTACATTTTTCAAAATTAACTCAGTTTTCTTGTCTCCAAGTTAGAAGATATATTAGTTGTAAACTTGAAAGTCAGTACCAATTCCAGTTATAAAATGAAAATGAAAGAATAAACATTAAAATTGGATACAACGTTAAAAATAAATCACTGATACATAAAATAATGTAACGTTTTTATGTTTTATTTTGAATTTTGATATTTAAAATTTAATAAATTCTTTGATTTAATGCAGACAGACAAGTCTAGAGATAATCCATTTAAAAACTTTATACTAAATCTTAAATTTGTCTGTGTGCAAATCGGATGGGGGGGGGGGGGNGGGTTAAAGAGAGAGGGGTTAAGGAGAGAGGGGTTAAGGAGAGAGGGGTTAAAGAGAGAGGGGTTAAGGAGAGAGGGGTTAAGAGAGAGGGAAAAACAAGACACATTTAAGAGAGAGAGTAGTCAGGACTTCCATGGCAGGAAAAGATAATGAAAGGAAGGAAAAGGAAAAATGACAGTGGAAAGGAAGTGTGATTATCACCTTAAAAAAATACGTTGAAAAAAGGATAGCGTGGAGACTAAAAGAGAACGACGGACAAATAGGTATGGAGGGGAAAGAAAAAAAATGAGAAAACTAAAAGGTAAAAATAGAAAATAAACAGGAAAAGAAGGAAAGTTACAAAGTAGACAGAAAGTAAGGAAAGTAAAGTGAAAGATAGACGAAGAAAAATGGTAAATTTTTGGAAAATTAGAAAAGTTGATATTAAGGTGAAGAAACAGATGTGTCAGTATCTAAAAACCATAAGAAAAATATATATAATCCTAAATGATCAGACTAGGGTTTCAAATACAACTATTTTCACCCTTATTTATCCTTCCCCCCCTTCACTGCCTTATTTAGCATTACAACCCCTACGTTACATATTGTGTTTTAAACGAAACATCAAAAGTAAGCTTTTTAAAATTCTTACTTTAGGTTTATTTCTTCGTATGAATTTCTGAAATTATCATTTTAGTCCCATTTAAACTACAGGGGTTTATGATTTTCTTGTGATACCCTGTACAGTACACCCTGATGATGACGGTGGTGAAATCTATGGGAATACAATACTATTGTTCTAGTATACATCACACCAAACCCTCCTTTTCACAGACACAGACACAAGCTCACGAATATTTACACACACTTGGACAAATATTAAACAATATATAATATACAATATATATACAGACTGAACCACAATATATGGGCATTCATTTGTTTTAAACAGCCGAACTGATCAAGAAATATTCGATAGAAACCAGGTATGAATAACATAGAAGCCATCAAAAAGTTTAAAAAACGGTAAAAAAAAGGCATCCTAAAATTCTATAAAAATTTGTTACAAATCAAAAAATTATAAATTGTTACTTTTTTCGAAAATGTAAGCTATAAATATTGCAGAAACGAGGGGGGCGCCAAGTGCTCTAGAATCTAATTAATAAAAAAATAACCTGAAATTCTAGTACTGCTTTTATCTCCTGAATAGCTTGACTATGTTCAGATATTTCAACTTCTAGAGCAGGATCTCCTGAACCCCTCCCTCCTTCTCCTGATACCTGCCCCCTTCCTGCCAGTTCACTCCTAGATAATAAATACTAGAGCAGGATCTCCTGAACCCCTTCCTCCTCCTGATACCTGCCCCCTTCCTGCCATTTCACTCCTAGATAATAAATACTAGAGCAATATCTCCTGAACCCCTTTCTCCTCCTGATACCTGCCCCCTTCCTGCCAGTTCACTCCTAGATAATAAATACTAGAGCAGGATCTCCTGAACCCCTTCCTCCTTCTCCTGATACCTGCCCACTTCCTGCCAGTTCATTCCTAGATAATAAATACTAGAGCAGGATCTCCTGAACTCCTTCCTTCTCCTGATACCTGCCCTCTTCCTGCCAGTTCACTCCTAGATAATAAATACTGGAGCAGTATCTCTATAACTCCTTCCACCTTCTCCTGATACCTGCCCACTTCCTTACAGTTCACTGCTAGATAACAAATACTAAAAATTCAGTGCGCTTTACATACACTCTTTTCTTGATTTCATGGAGTCTGATCATTTTCTGCGAAACTGCATTTACCCCTGTCATTGATCCTTATTCTATACCCCTGTCCATGATCCAATACCCTTATTATTGATCCTCATCCTATATCCCTATCATTGATCCATGATCCTGTACCCCTGTTTCTAATCCTATACCCCTGTTCCTGATCATATATATCGTTCCTGACCCTATCTCTATGTTCCTGATCCTATACCCCTGTTCCTCATCATATACTCCAATTCCTGATCATATACTCTTGTTCCCGATCATATACCCCTGTTCCTGATCCTATATCTATGCTCCTGATCCTATATCTATGTTCCTGATCCTATACCCCTGTTCCAGATCCTCTACCCCTGTTCCTGATCCTATACCCCTGTTTCTGATCCTATATCCATTTTCCTGATCCTATATCCATTGTCCTGATCCTATATACATGGTCCTGATCATATACCTGAGTGAGACTAGTTCTGATCCTATATCCATTTTCCTGATCCTATGTACATGGTCCTGATCCTTTATCTGAGTGAGAGTAGTTCTGATCCTATATCCATTGTCCTGATCCTATATCCATGGTCCTGATCCTATATACATGGTCCTGATCCTATATATATGGTCCTGATCCTATATACATGGTCCTGATCCTATATACATGATACTGATACTATATAGATGGTTCCTGATCCTATATACATGGTCCTGATCCTATATCCATGGTCCTGATCCTATATACATGGTCCTGATCCTATATACATGGTCCTGATCCTATATACATGGTCCTGATCCTATATCCATGGTCCTGATCCTATATACATGGTCCTGATCCTATATACATGGTCCTGATCCTATATACATGGTTCTGATCCTATATACATGGTCCTGATCCTATTTCCATGGTCCTGATCCTATAACATGGTCCTGATCCTATATACATGGTCCTGATCCTATATACATGGTCCTTATCCTATATACATGGTCCTGATCCTATATACATGGTCCTGATCCTATATACATGGTCCTGATCCTATATATATGGTCCTGATCCTTTATACATGGTCCTGATCCTATATACATGGTCCTGATCCTATATAAATGGTCCTGATATACATGGTCCTAATCCTATACCTGAGTGAGACTAGTTCAGATCTAAGGGTATTTGTCTCCTCCATTAGTTTAGATAAAGAGACTCCCTCAGATTCCTGACTGCTGGAACGTAACCGAACCTACAAATATATATATAAATAAATACATTATTGTATTTTCAAGAACCAGGGAATGCTTTTAGTGTCTAAATTAATTAACATGGTATTTTCAATTAGCTAAAAAAACTCATCAAAATATATTTTTTGTTTGTTTCTTCTGCAAGATAAAATATGTCTCTATTTGTAATTGCTAAAAAGGACCTAAATTCTTTTTTATACCTGAAGACCAACGTCTTGCGTTTTTTTCAGAACTAATTTAAATTCAGTAATTTTCTTTTTGAATTAAGTGAAGCTTTCTTAAAAATTTGATCTAAAAAAGCTATCTTAATTAATTTACATGATGTATGCAGAAATATAGAGGCTTGGGCATGAAGCTAATGCGTACATCTTTATGATTTAGTTATCCAGCATAAACTTTTAACTTTTAACGATTTTTACTTTTAACACCATGACAAACACACTAAAAATAAATTCCTTACAAAATATCATCCTTTTACTAGATTATTCTTTATTTAAATTAAATAGAAACCAAAAATAATAAAATCAATATTTCTAAAATACTTATAAACAACTTGTAATTAATTCACTATATAATTATGGTTGTTCTTCCATATCCATAAACCCCCTTTCATATTTTGTACACACTCCCTTTAATATTTTGTACACACTCCCTTTAATATTTTGTACACACTCCCTTTAATATTTTGTACACACTCCTTTTCATATTTTGTACACACTCCCTTTAATATTTTGTACACACTCCTTTAATATTTGATTTTACCTCCATAGCTTCAAGTTGAGTTCTTGTTCCCTCATATGCAAGACGTAGACGCTCAAACTCATCTTGTATATGAGCTAGCTCACGCTCAAACTCACGAGCCTATAAACATACAAATGTTTCAGTTCTGGGTTATGTACAAAATATAGGAGTTGAGAAACGATTGGACAGAATAAATTCAGTCTCGTTTCATATATTCTTGGTTTTCTGCAACTATGAACTTTTTGTTTTTTAGTATCCTAAACAAAATAAAGCAAAGACAGGCCACAAAATGAAAATTGTGGATCCTATTTTTTAGCGTTTTATATCGCACTTATAGATTCATCTTCTAAGCCATATCATCAATCTAAGATTTCATCAGGACAAAATGTTTTATTTTAATCATTAGCTTTTTAAAAGTCCAATATTGAGTTTGGTCAGACGTAAATAGGAGTATACAAATCCGTAAAATCTTATTTCTAATAAAAAACGCAGAAAGTTCAATGTGAAAGAAATTTTACCTTCACAGAGTCCTTTCTTGAAAGTGTTTGGGCTGCACGCACCTGTAAGATGTAAGATGTAAGATGTAAGATGTAAGATGTAAGATGTAAGATGTAAGATGTAAGATGTAAGATGTAAGATGTAAGATGTAAGATGTAAGATGTAAGATGTAAGATGTAAGATGTAAGATGTAAGATGTAAGATGTAAGATGTAAGATGTAAGATGTAAGATGTAAGATGTAAGATGTAAGATGTAAGATGTAAGATGTATGATGTAAGATGTAAGATGTAAGATGTAAGATGTAAGATGTAAGATGTAAGATGTAAGATGTAAGATGCACGATGTAAGATTTAAGATGTAAGATTTAAGATGTAAGATGTAAGATGTACGATGTAAGATGTAAGACGTAAGATGTAAGATGTAAGATGTAAGATGTAAGATGTAAAATGTAAAATGTAAGATGTAAGATGTTAGATGTAAGATGTAAGATGTAAGATGTAAGATGTAAGATGTAAGATGTATGATGTAAAATGTAAGATGTAAGATGTTAGATGTAAGATGTAAGATGTAAGATATAAGATCAAAGATGTAAGATGTAAGATGTAAGATGTAAGATGTAAGATGGTAAGATGGAATGAAAATTTACCTTTCCATAAAGATCTTCGTTTTCAGCCATTAGATTTTCACGTTCTTCTTTCAACATTGCAACCTTTAATATTTCAAGAATAAGAAAAATAAAATCTATTTTTTATCGTTAATTGATTTTCAGAACATTTTAACTTTGTTATTATTCAACATTCACAAATTATTCTTTTTTGCATACCTGAAAATCAAGTTCATGGCATTTTTGAGCCCAAACCTCTTCACCCGGTGGGGTAGAAATCTAAACAAGTAGGTTTCATTATAAATATAAACCCGTATACTGTATATTTTAGGTTCAAATAGGTTTACAAATATTTAGGTTTACAGTGGAAAGAAAGACTTGTAGATTTACAATAGGTTAAGAGACTTATAGGTTTACAATAGTTTTAGAGACTTGAAGGTTATACGAAAGGTTTAGAGTCTTGTAGGGTAACAATAAGTTTAAAAGTGTAGGGTTACATTGGGTTTAGAGACTTGCAGGTTTACAATAGGTTTAAAGACTTGTAGGTTTAAAATAGGCATAGCTGACTTGTAGGTTTAAAATAGACATAGCTGACTTGTAGGTTTAAAATAGACATAGCTGACTTGTAGGTTTAAAATAGACATAGCTGACTTGTAGGTTTAAAATAGGCATAGCTGACTTGTAGGTTTAAAATAGGCATAGCTGACTTGTAGGTTTAAAATAGGCATAGCTGACTTGGTAGGTTTAAAATAGGCTAAAAGACGTGTAAGATTCACAATAGGTTCAGAGAATTGTATATTTACCTTGAGATCTGGAGTAGAACTAAGCTGGGAAAGACGACCTGTCCACTCTCTAGTGTAGATAAAGCTTGCAACACACGAGGTTAAAGCGTGCTAAAATCAAGATGATTGAAAACCCTGAATTTGCAGATCAAGAATCGAGTCTTTACCTCTAACTCTGATTTTCTAATCCAAATATCTTGAAATATCATTAGAAAATTTGAACTTTTGGCTAAAACATTTTCTTTCTGAATCTTAACCATGCGAGAAGCTCAGTGTCATATGCACATTGCACACTGCACAGTTGCTATTGTGTCAAGGCGGGTAGAGGTTATTAGACAGGGTGTCCCACGTCATATTAAAATTATTATAAATTAAAAAAATTCTTGCAAAAAATACCAGGTTTTTTGAGTTTTATGTAAGTATTTTGGCGTTAAAGCTTGGAGATAATTTAATATGATATGGGAACGAAAACCAGTTAAGCAGATTTTGGTCGGTCAAAAATGATCATTTAGTTTCTTCAAAACAGCGGAGGCCTTAGTTTTATTCTTTAACTTTATTCATTGTTAAATTTAAAATAATCAAAATGATCCAATTAAAAAAAAACTAAAAGAGAAAAATAGGATGATCTTTTAATTAAATTTTAACAAAAAATAAAAATAAAATCCAGACTCTGTGGATCTGGTTTTTACTGGTTATTTTCTTAAATTTCTTTATATTTTTCTACATCGATCATTTGTTTACAATACCTGTGCCGTCTCGTCCAAAGATTGTATTTTGTTTATAAATGTTTGTTTGTTTGTACACGTCACAGCCACTCCTAACATCAACTTTAGGAACCTGAAACAAACAAAAAAGAAAAAAATTAACAGTTTGTGTTTCACAAACAAAAGTAAAAAATTCAACAGAGTTGTCTTTTTATACTTTTTAATCTAAAATGCATCCGCCGACAATAAAAGTGAAAATATAAACTTACTTGACAAGTGTATTTGTACTCAATGAACTTACTTGACAAGTGTATTTGTACTCAATGAACTTACTTGACAAGTGTATTTGTACTCAATGAACTTACTTGACGAGTGTATTTGTACTCAATGAACTAAACTGGTTGGGAAGATGAGGTAAAGGAAGGTCGTCTGCTACACAGATATCTGCTAACTTGTTCCTGAATAAAAATGATAATACTAATTGTTCTAACCTGTAGTAATAAAGCAGAAGATTTAAAATTGAATCAAATATTTCGTAATTTGTACCCTTGCTCTGAATCAAGCCTTTAAAAATATATATACATACAATGCATTAAAATAAAAAATCGAGAACAGTCTAAAGATTCTAATGGGCGACTCATAACGGTATGTTTGAAAAATAAATCCTATAGATATACAATCCTGCAGAAGTAATGCGCAAGTAATTTTTGTAGAGAATCCACAATTGAAAATAATCAGTTTTTAAAATCATAAATATTTATCTAAAAATTACTAGATCAGACAAAGCATTTTAAGGGTACCGCGTTGGAAATGGGGAATTGCCATTTTTTTAATTGTGCAGGGTCACTTTAAATTATGTTAACAGTCCCTTTATGAAACATAGATATATAATAATAATGTGCGTTAGACTAAGCAAAGCTAAAACTTTTCGGATTCAACAATTGACTTACACTTGCGGTCGGATGCCCCTAAAATGGTCGGATGTCCCCTAAAATGGTCGGATGTCCCCTAAAATGGTCGGATGTCCCCTAAAATGGTCGGATGTCCCCTAAAATGGTCGGATGCCCCTAAAATGGTCGGATGCCCCTAAAATGGTCGGATGTCCCCTAAAATGGTCGGATGCCCCTAAAAGGGTCAGATTTGTCGTTATATCTAGACCTAAGGGATATCTTGTGAGCGGTGTGATATGTTTGTGTTTCTTGTAATACAAATGCAACAGCTGAAACATTTGAACATACTCTTTAAGCAATAAAACAAGCTGACCTGCATACCACGCTGGTGTAAACTCCGAAGGTTCAATCTGTACAAGTGCTTCCGCAAGTACAGTTCCACCGTACAAATCTGCTGTACAAGACACCTACAATACAAATAAAAATGTATGTACATGACAAAACAGTTTGTGTACAAGACAGATACGAAGTCTAGATTCTATATACATGCGTGCAGCCCAATAGAGTAGTAAACTGTACTATTACAGTAATGCAATGTATTGTATATGACACCCATAGTGCACTAGCATATTAATTTATGTAAAGCCGTGTAGTCGTAATATACTGTATAGTTGTGTAATTAATTAATGTAATAATCTCAACCTTCCTGTTAAATGCCCAATTTATAAATTGCTTAGAAATGCGCCCTCCACTTTGCATTTTAACAAGGAAACTTATTTTTTTTATCCTAAATTTTACGAGAATGCCTTAATTTCTTGCATCAAGAAGATTTCAAGTAAATTTGGATAATGGTTCGGGTTTTTTGTTAACATATCATGCTTAATAAAACAGGCTAAAAATCCAATATTATCTTAAGTTAAAAATACTAAGAATTTCTAAACAAATAATATTTTCAACTGAAAGCTGAAACATCTGGCTGAAATAACCATTCTCTTGAAAACTTATTAGTGTTAAATCTCACAATATATGTTTATGTTGTCCTTGGTTAATTCTCAGAATCAATCCAAGAACCCTTAGGATAGGTTTAATAGTTTCTAATAGTCCAATAATAGTTTTAAGGCACTTGAAGGTAACACTTAGAGTTTCACATGTTAACTCTTGTTTACACAAAGGATTGAATATTGATAATTAAATTGTCATTAGCCTTCACTATTTGTCATTCTTATATATATATTCAATTGTCATGGAGGGGGGGGGGGAAGGGCAACTCCTCCCTGCTCTTCCACGAAAATATTACAAAACAAATTTGAAGGGGGGGGGGGAAACAATTTGAAATTTAGTTAGCCTTTTTAATGCTTGTTAATAAAGTATTGCTTACGGGGATCACACATTGTTTGAAAAAACGTTCTACAGGGTGTCCCAAGAAACATGGGAATTAAGTAATTTAGTAACGACAGCGTCAAAGCGTCATTATTTGGTAAACACAAATTTATTTTGTATCAAAGTTAAAGCATTAAACACAAAAAACTGCTAGTCCCGTGATTTCCAAAATGTGGTCTAGAAATTTTGTACCTCTCTTAATTCCCATGTTTACTGGGACACTCTGTATACACCCACAAGTTTGGGAATTAGAAACAATAAGGAAGTTTCTAACCTCTCAAATTTATTCCTAGAGTATAATTTTTGTAATTTTTTTCATTACAGTAGAGTTAAAAGATGACAAAGTTGACGTCAAGTATGATTTCGAACTAATTAAGGAGATCGTTGACTCCGATTTGAGAGTAGAAGAACCTAAGTTATATTCGGACTGAACATCGGCAATTAGGGGGTTATGTGTCATTTTAAAAAATGGAAACAATCCCTTTAAAAAGTCCACAAAAGGAAGAATTTGAAAGTGAAGATTAAACTTTGCTGCACATGATACAGTCATGAGATAAAGTCAAGAGATGCAAGGCTAGGATTAATGATAAATTTATTAGATTAGGTACACAATGTACCCTGTACATTGTAGTACATAGATTTATGAAATAAGATTTAACAGATAGTTCGAAATATCCTCTCCAGGGGGTTAAACCATGTCACGGCAATTCAGACTTCTTGGTTTATGTCGTTAGCTTATACGACACGTTAAAACAGTCCATATGTATTTATTATACTAACATTTTTTGTTAGGCTATCAGTTTTATTATTATAGAATGTGCAATTAAGTTCGCTTTGTTTAGTGGATTTTGAAAAAGTTTTTTTTCCGACTCAAACCGGACATTCTTTGATCTAGCGAGTTTTGCGTGATACATGTATTATTTAATACCTTGCACACAAACATATGAAATCATCATGAAGTGAAAATCAAAAATCAAAATGATATATACAGAAATCTTCTACAGTTTAATAATTAGTAGTAGTGTCCAAGGCGCAACTTTGCAAAGCATGGATGTTGTGTGAAATCACACTGAAGTAAAAACGTATGAATGCAATCTTGCAATTTAAAATCTTTCTGAGAAAATCCTGTCATTTTCACCAATCATCCCTGATTTTTTTCCAATATTTTCGAAAGTAAAAAAAATCTTGCATCCAAATGTATAATGCTTAAATACACTTATGATCATGTTCATGTAAAAAAAAAATGAGAAGTGTTGTAAATAATCAATTTTAAAAATATCGACCATACTTTGTATAAAAATGTTAGCTAAAATTACTTTCAAATTAGGAAAGGGGGAGGGGGGGGGGGGATAGAAATCATTTTTAACCCCCTTCAATTCTGTGAACTAATGCACTAATGCGCAATTGCGCGCTACATATATAACGTTAACCACAGAACCAGGAAAAAAGGAGTTTAGCTTGGGGGTTATATAATTATATTTTTAAAATAAATATACTAAAGAACAATGAATACATTTATTACATACAGAGTGTACAGGGTATTCAACTAAACATAAGACTAGTAAATGAAATGTCGTCTTCTTGAAATATATTGCGGCATTCGTGAATTGATGTTTACAACTGGGATTCTGGGATTTTCTGCTTTCGAAATAAATAGAACTAGGAAAGAACGAAAATGACGAATTCGTCCAAGTTTCAGGATGAATCGGTTTAAAGGCATGTAGCCCAACTTCACATTACCTAAAAGGATCCACCCTAAATTTGAGATACTTCTTTTAAATCTTAAATTCTGAATTTTGTTCGTGCCATGAAAACCAAATATGGGTCACTCTGTATATAATAATGTTTACATAACATGTAATAGATTACAATGAATTCATTTGAATAATTTTTGAATATATTAAAGGATGGTAACCCATAAACCTAGATACAGTAAAGGATTTCAAGGATGGGTCAGGGACCAAGGGGTAAAAGCGAGAGAATAGTTTAACTATAGAAGGAAAAGGGGAAATGGAGCTGGAATGCAATAACTGCATCTGGAATAGGAAAAACTGAATTGAGTTGGAATAGGAAAGGGATTTTTAAGTAAGCTGTAATAGAAAAACAGGCAAATGAAGCTGTAGTAGGAAATGGATAAATGGAGCTTGAATAGGAAATTTGTAAAGGACGCTTGAATAGAAAACAGAAACACATTGCTAGAAAAAGACAAAAGTAAATAGAGCTGGAATAGGAAAGTTGTAAATGGAGCTGGAATAGGAAAGTTGTAAATGGAGCTGGAATATTGAGTTAAAGTGGAGCTGGAAAAAGAAAGGGATAATTAATTGGAGTTGGAATAAGGAAAAGGAAATTGGAGCTGGAATAGGAATGTGAATTTACAAGAAAAAAAAAACATAATTCCTACCTCTGAAGTTAGATTAAATGTTCTCAGCCAACCTAGGAGAGCTGTTATCTCAACATTATCTTGTTCCATTCTTCGGAGGACAGGAGGGGGAAAATGAGAATGGGGGGGGGGGTAAGGGGGAGATCCAGTAATCCTAAGTCACTGATTACTTATTTTCTTTTTAGATTTACTAACACCGTGTAGTTGGTTTAGGTTTTATATCTAAACATTTCTTCTGAAATAGGTTCATCATTAACAAATATCAGTTAGTGTAATTAAACTCAGCTTTTTCACGAAGATTTAAAGCCCTTCGCAGCCGCCCTGATGTCTGTCGTATTCAAAATTGCCAATCATACAACGTCTATTCAATGTAGTTTTTTCTATTTGGATTTCATGGAAAGATGACAATATATTTTCTTTGATAACAGAAAGGATTATTAATCGAATTATTTAAAATTATCTTAAATTTTATCTCCATGGCTAGTTTACTACTAGAAAATCCTTTAATATTTTTATAAATTCTCTTGTTTTAATCTAGTGAATGCAAGTTATTAAAAATGCAGCCCTCCAATTAAAACAAATGTATCCATTAGCTCTTGCAGAATAAAGTTCTATCTAGTAAAATTCAAATATATTTATTTTAGAGTTCTTAATTAACGTATATTGAACATTTCATAAATGATATTTTATATCTATTAAAAAATGTGTTAAAAATAATAAAAACCATTTAAAACTAATGAAAACCAATGCAAAAAGTTTTTTTTTTATTTTTCAAAATATAATTTCTTGAAACAGATCTGGCTAAATATAATTAAGTATACGTGATACCACAACCAGTAATCAAATCATCAATAACCAATGAGCATGAGAAATGAGTCAGCACAAAGTACTCATGGAACCAGGATTACCTACGGAACATGTTGATGCATTTACCAAATATTTCATAAAATGTAAAACTTTTTGTTTTTCATTTCGTTCATTCATCGTTCATTACGATGAATGAATGTATGTATTCAGTGACATAGATATAGATACTGTTTCAATATATATGGAAACTTAGATTAGGGATTATGACACTATGACAGAGGGAAAATATTAATGCTGTGAAATTATGACAAAAGAACGTAATAAAGTGACAGAGAGCCATAACGCTGTTATAGAAGGACGTAATACTATGACATATGAATATGATGCTGTGAAAGTATAAGACAAAAAAATGTGAAAAAGGGATGTAATACTTTGACAGAAGGACGTGATACTATGACAGAAGGACGTAATACTGTAACAGAGGGACGTTAAAAAGAGACATGGAGATGTGATACTGTGACAAAGGACCATGATACTGTGGAATGAACACGTGATGCTGTAACATGGGAAAATGTTAATAAAGTGATAGAGGGACATAAAACTGTTATAGAGGGACGTGACACCGTGACATGAGCTACGTGTTACTGTGACAAAGCTACGTGTTACTGTGACAAAGCTACGTGTTAATGTGACAAAGCTACGTGTTACTGTGACAAAGTTACGAGTTACTGTGACAAAGCTACGTTTTACTGTGACAAAGTTACGAGTTACTGTGACAAAGCTACATGTTACTGTGACAAAGCTACGAGTTACTGTAACACAGTTACGTGTTACTGTGACAAAGCTACTTGTTACTGTGACACAGTTACGAGTTACTGTGACAAAGCTACGTGTTACTGTGACAAAGCTACGAGTTACTGTGTCACAGTTACGTTTTACTGTGACAAAGCTACGTGTTACTGTGACGTGGGGATAAAGATACAGACAAACGAAAATGACCCTATTGCAATTTACTGTTCTGCATTCCAAGGTACGACATATTTTCTTGCAATAAAGTGATTGAGTGCAATATTTTCAAATAAACCCAAACAAGCTACCACTTACATCTAATCAGCACAACTATTGTTTGGACGTGTGGTTCTAATATATATGTGCAGTGTGCTGTACAGCTTGTTATAATAATATGAACTTGTACTTACATCTAATCAGCACAACTATTGTTTGGACGTGTGGTTCTAGTGTGCAGTGTGCAGGTTGTTATAATAATATAAACTTGTACTTACATCTAATCAGCACAACTATTGTTTGGACATGTGGTTCTAATATATATGTGCAGTGTGCAGGTTGTTATAATAATATGAACTTGTATTTAAAAAACATTACTAGCCTTGGCTCACTGTTACGTTTTTACATCAAGCTAACTGATACACACATAATCTGATCAGGAGGAACAGAATCATGTTAGACTCAACAAAATAACTCGTTCACTGGAATAGCTCTACTCTTTGTGTTCACTCTAACTATATGTAAACTACTCAGCTGAATATCAGCTGTGCATGTATTGAACCGTTCCACGTAGCGCTCTTCACCAGTTGTCGGCCAAAACTAAACTGATTCAGTCATTGTTTGGGAGATGGCAATATACACTTTCATTTTCATGTTTAAACTGCAACTTGTCCCACGCGTAGAGTTTACAACGTTTTCATCAATCAGATAAACTTGGTTAAAATTAATGAATAATTGTTGCAACCTCTTTTGTGGGTCAAAACTCTGTATTATTTCACCGTAGAGTAAAGCCGGTAAATTCCTTCCCTTCAGGTTTGTATACTGGAACAGAATGATTCAGCTTAGGTTTAAGATGGGGTAGGGTGGGGGATGGTTTGGTGGGGGGGGGGGAGCTTTGAACCAGTTTTTGAAAGCCTGATTTTCAAGTTTAGAGTTAAACTTTAGGATATAGCACTATATATTTAGGTTGAGTTGGCGAAGCTCGCACATATGTGTGAATGTTGTTCACTCCAAGAGGGTATGGGGGGGGGGAGGTTGAAGAAAAAAATTTTATAATTCGACGATACATTGAGCATTTCTTATTATCTTATATGTTTTTCCATGAAACCTGAACTAGATCTCCAATACTAGGGTTCAGATCGATTAAATAATTGATTGGACAATTGGAATGCTATTTCATCCCCGCCCTCTAGTGCCCACCATATAGGGGTTATATAGGGAGGGGGGGGGATGCAGCTGTATCCCACCCCCCTCTCCGATTACATCGCAGTTGGAAACTTGGAGAATGAAAATGTATTCAATTATAAACTAAACAATTGTGCTTCATTTCAACTGAATTGATTTAAGTTTTACTGTGAGCAATTAAAGAAAATAATTTTAATGTGTACAATGTACAATGTATATGGTTGGAAAACTTGTTCAATCTTTATTTCCGTTAAACTTTGTATATAATCTTTTTTTTAACCTTTGTTTAATATTATCTAATAACAGTTACTTGCATTTGCATACGTTAACATATAGTGAAAAATGAATGAGAGCTGTTATGTCCTGGCTGTATCACAGCTATCACTAGTGGTCATATTAAATTCTTTAAATAAAAAGGTTTCGATTAACACTTATTGCACCCCATGCATACTTAAATAATAAAAAGGCCAACCAAGATGTAAATATTATGAAATTATAGATTTCATTTAATGAGCGAAATCCGTGCCAAAGTAACATTGTATCTAGATTACTTTGTTTTTGGTGCGGAGCGTCATGAATTACCGAAGTACTACTGGAATATATATAAATAGTAAATTGTGCTAAACTGACCCTCTCTCATACAGTTTTCACTGCCTTCGGCTTTAAACAGAACCAAGTAAAGGCTGGCCGAGATGATATATATGTGCAGTGTGCAGGTTGTTATAATAATATGAACTTGTACTTACATCTAATCAGCACAACTATTGTTTGGACATGTGGTTCTAATATATATGTGCAGTGTGCAGGTTGTTATAATAATATGAACTTGTACTTACATCTAATCAGCACAACTATTGTTTGGACATGTGGTTCTAATATATATGTGCAGTGTGCAGGTTGTTATAATA